AATTGACTAGGCCTGGCTACTCTGACGATACCGCTTTGCTAGTGCTATGGTTAACTGATTTCGCATATAGTAGCAGATACGCGTACACCGATCTGTTAGAAAACACATACGTCCGTCTATGTTGCAATTAGAGCTCTCATTCGGGCCTTCACCGTGAGGCGACTAGGATATAGGCAGAAGGACATTACGGACAAGATATGGGACACTAGAATGGCCATTTCTGCCTTATTAGGCGTCGTCAGCTAATGATACCTATACACATATTTGACCCGAAGGCCTTGTCCCTAGTCTGTGATTTTCGGTTAATATTTCTTAAGGTCAGTCACTAACTATAATTGTAACCTTTTATCGAGGGTTACTGCTACAGCATTTTGTTCTTTATGGTTTATGAAGTTATCTTTTGCTTGTGGGCATATCTCTAAAATAAGTCTGGCTTTGCCTGTCGTAAGAACTGATTATTTTTTCCGTAGCTGTTCCCCTTGTTACCTTTTAGCAAGTATACCCTTACCCTTATTAATTGGATACTCCGTAGTTCTTATGTCAGGGAGCTGAAGAGACTCCATGCAGCAGACTGGGAAATATCATACTTCTTAAACATGCTCCCATCAACTGACGGTTAGTGTGGCCTATAAGCACAGTTTTCTATCACGCGGACATGTGCCAGTTTTTTTCTAAATAGTTTTCGGACTCTCCATGTATTACTCCCTTCCAAAATAATTGTGCATCATATTTTCTAACAAATTCTAATAACGTGTTGCTCCGATAGGATCTTATGCGCTAGGGGCAAAAGGCTTTCACAAAATACTGTGATAAGCCTTGGTGTCGGCGAATGTTTCGGCTTGCCTGGCCTAAAAAGTTCGTTACTCTGTATCTGTTAGTCAAGCCCCTCTAACCCCAGAATTCAGAAACCGATTGTATTCGAGCGTGTTGACTTCGAAAACATGATATTGTTAACCATAGCGCTTTAACCATCAAGCTAGTTTACGCGCAGTTTACATTCCGCCTCAGGTATTTAACGTGCATTCCTGACTCGAAAGCGTGCCTTTTGCGAAGGAGTCACGTGTTTAACCCAATACCAAGCTTTTTTGGTGGCGAATGAGTGAAAACGTTCGCGTCGGCGTTGGACAAAACCGCCCCTTAGCCATTCCGCCGGGGTGGCCACATATTTCAAGTTGCTGGTTATCGTGTGTGCCATAGGCTAAGTGGATTCCATCTGTATTTACATCCTCTTCTTTCTGATATCGT